ATCTGATGGGCCAACTAGCTACCCCATGGTAGGTAACAGGACCGAGGTCGGCTACCAGGGGGAGGTAGCCGAACCGAGACAGCCGAACCGAGACCAGCTACCTTTGGAAGAGTAAATCGGCCACTCTTCCAAAGGTAGCCGGTCTTGGTTCGGCTACCTCCCCCTGGTAGCCGACCTCAGTCCGGTTACCTACCATAGGGTAGCCGGTCTTGGTTCGGCTACCTCCCCCTGGTAGCCGACCTCAGTCCGGTTACCTACCATAGGGTAGCCGGTCTTGGTTATATATTCTTTTTTTGGATCTTCTAATAATGTAAACCGATTTGGTCCTGAAATATCATATTATAATACTAAAGGATCGTTTTGTTTTATCAATTAATCAAGACATTGAAATATTGCATACACTGGTACCTTTGCGGTATGATTGTTATGGATGTCTATTTTTTTCTGAAGCACTCAAGATTACACATAGTATGTGAAGATAATCGACTGCATGAGAAGCTGAAGTGACTATTTAAAAAACCTATCTATTATTGATTTCAACATTGGCGAAACTAGTCAACATTTTAGAATGCGGCGAAGATCACAAGTGACGTACTCAATAGAGAGAATAATCTCATGATGCACTCTGCTTTTCCTCTTTATCGAGGTTTTGTACTAATGGGTTCTTGACAAGGTTTTTAACGAGACAACGTCATATTTGGGATTGTACTTTTTTTTCTTTATTAGATTTTTATCCAACTGTATTTTTTCTAGTAAAGGTTTTAACGAGACATTATCCAAATAAATAGATATCCAAGGGGTAGTATCATAAATATCTAAAAGTGTGGATGTCTAGAAGCCATAAAGATTGTATAAGGAATCAAATGTATAGAGATAATATTTAGTTAGATCTTATCATAGTAAGATCTTATTATTGGTTGCTCTTGTCCTTGTATCCTTTTTCCTATTAAAGGATATCAATCTCCCATTGCGCTTATCAATTTCCTCTTTCTCTCACAAGTTGTTCTCTCTCTTCTTGTTCTTTCTCTGCAACATTACACGTTTTTTGAATTTATAACAGTTTAACTTTTTTTTTTTCTTTTTCAACATAATATATAAAAAACAAGTTTGGACAAAGGTTTGGTAGTATACCTTAGGAGTAAACGATTAAGAAAAAAAATAAATTGATATTTAATTATTTAGTCAATACTAATTAATTACATATAATTATTTTTTAATTAATAGTATCAACCTTAGGTATAAGTGATTAAGAACAAAACTAAATTGACATTTTATTATTTTAGTTAATACTAATTAATTACATATAATTATTTTCTAATTAATAGTACCAATGAAGGAGGATGAGAGGTTTCATTTCAAAGGTATGTGTTTGGTCATTTTATTATTTCATATAATTTGATATATTTCACAAATCAAACTGAAGCCAAGTTATGGGACGGTTCCGATACTCCTACTAGATCCACCTAATTATACAAAGCAAACCTGTTACCGGCTGAATGTTTTTTTTTTTTCCTCTTCACTCTCTTATTCGTCTTCTTTTCACTCTCCTCTTTACGACCACCCAAACTCGCCAATTACAATCTCTTCGATCCTTCCACGACTGTCGAATATGGAGCTTTCATATGTTTAATTTTAGGTTTCAGAGTGATGAGTTGAATAACCCGATCAAGTTTTGTTCGGAGTGGTTGGTTCAGATGTAATTACAATTTAGTTTGATTAAGTTAGCTGGAGGTGATTGTAATTTGCAATCGAGCTTTGGCGTGGAAAGTATTTTGCTAGGAATTTGATGATTCCTTAATTTTGCATCATCCCGATGAAGAGGATGAATTTACCGAGCTTTACGAACGTAGACAGCATTGATGGTTCCACCCATAACAATCATACTGATCAACTTGGTCGTGATTGCCGTGGTGATTTCAAGGACCCTATACAGTCCATTCCCGCAGTGGAGCAAGTTACTTGGAGGGTTTTCTTCGGCCATGTCTCATCTCTGTCGTTTTGCTAAAGGCCTTTTGATGAGAAGAGGAAAGATTCCACCATTGCTTTCCTCTCGTCCGGGCTGATCTGCATTGTTCTTTCCTTGATGACTGTGTATGTATATCCACCTTCAGGAAGAAAAAAGGCCGGTGGTTTCAGGTTCAACTTTCCCTAGTAGTGTCTGGCTGCTGTTTTTGGACAAAGAAAAGAAAACTCATGGGAAGTTGCCTTATTTTCTGCAGCTAAAAATCTTCATGTTTGTCTGTTGTTACTTGTTTGCTCAATCATTTTAAGTCCAGTCTGTCTTTTCTTTCGTTCTTAGCCAATTAAGGTAAAAGTTTTATATCTTCAGTCCATGTTTGTGTAGTGTAAAATTCAAGATATGACTTCAAGTATTAATATTCATTACAATTCAAGATATAACTCCAAGTATTAATATTCATCACGCACTTCATATGTATGGGTATATAGTTAGCAAAAGAGAATTCATTTTGTGATGATGTCAATTGTAATATTGTTAATGATAAAAATGATGAACTGAAGCTTAGAGCCCTTGTATCGGGTGGTTTGTTCTTAAGTAGTATCAGAACTATTAAGAAGCTACTGAACCTAAAGTTGGACGTTGTAACTTTAAACTCTGGTGAATATATGACCATTTACAGCTTGTGGCTTTCCTGAGAGTTTTCTTTCCCCTATGAGATTGCTTTGCTTTCTTGCATCAATGCCCTGCTGATTTCATAAATACTCATCATGTAAGTTGATAAGCTATTAGCAGATTTCATGATGAGATATGAATAAGCATTTCGGCCACTGACCAAACAATTAAATGAGAAAGTGGAAATCTAAAAAGTAGAAGTATATATGCGGTATGGTACATTGACAAGTAGGGGAACAATAAAATCAGGAAAAGAATTGGCTTACTATTTTTTTCTGCATCTCAACTCTCAGCAATAACAAGTTTAATTACGAGTTCATGGGCAATGCAGAAGACAAATCTGCTTATACAAAGAGAAATATGACTACGTATGTACGTGGAAATTCGAAAGATAAAGGACTGGATTTATTTCCAAAAGCTTCAATAATCTCACTCAGAGAAAAGGCAAAAAAAAAGCTGCCTGCAGCCTTTTTGTTGATACGATACGGAGCACAAAAATTGGATATGCTGATTCCCGCAATGGTTTATTCCACTCGCTGCTAAATCTGAGAAATGGAATTATCTCATTTCCCCCTTGTTTATAAGGCATGCAGAGGTTTCAGTTTCCGGAAAACAAGCAGCAGCATCGGATGTTACAAAACAGCTTATAAATCCCACTGTAAATCAAACCAGGAAAAATGCAGACTGGATCCACATCTCCATGTGTAAGCAAAACAGTCTCAGGGCTACTTTCTATTGGCATGAAATTAGTGCCGATCCGGGGAGGGCTTATATCTCCCTTGAAACTGCTCTATATATTTTACATGCCAAAGGAGAGTTGCCCTGCGACTGCTTTAGCTTACCTTAATTTTGTCACTGTAAATTTTCATTTACTAATAAGAAGTTAGTCCAAATTATAATGGTGATCCACCAAATCACTGCTTTCGGCGCCATGGTAAATCTTCGATGAGTACATTCTTCATCGCCTCACCAGATTATAAGGTCATCTATTTCACTCCATTGGCGCAATTTACAGGAATCTCTCTTAACCTTCCAAAGTTTTTATCGCTTCATATGAAATAATAAATAATGTAAAGAAACCATTTATAGTTGATTGTATGTTGGAACATTAAGCCCTGCAAATTGTATTTATAGCGTTACTGTACAACAAGAAAAAGCCTAACACTTGCACAATTATCAATCTTGTTTCTCGAATCATAAAAGAAAATAAAAAAAAATACGTGACCACTTCACCCGAACTTACAAAAGGCTCATGCACTCAATTTTTGTGTCTGAATTCATTTTTAAAAAAATTACATTTGCATGATACAAGTATAATTAGAATACTTTCTTTGTAGTGTCTTTACGCTTCATGATTCTACATATTAAACAAAGAGTAACAAACAGTCCACTCAAGGTGGAAGCAGAGCCAACAGAGACTTCTTCGTGTGCCCTTAATTGGTGAAATTTAAATTAGATCAACAAAACACACGCACAGGAGGCAAAACACTCATGAGCTTAATCAAAATAAGTTGACTTGCAAGACTACACGTAGTAGACAGTAGAAGCAAAGCACACAGAGTGATCCCCTTTTACCGAGAAAAACTAGTGCACCAGCCACCAAGCATTGTTTAACCAAAAGAGCAGGTATAATGCAACCCTCAAACATTAGAAAAACTTCAACAATTCACAATAGCGCAAGAAATAAATTTCGAAGAAACTCAACAATCAATCACCAAATCAATAGCCACCAATGATTGACAACTAGACAAAGAGCAACCGTACCTAAAGCCGGCTGCGCAAATAACGGGGAAATTAAATTGCACACAAGCACTGCAACTCGACATAATTTTAGAAGGAATCAACACCAAACAAAGTCCCTAACCCTTAATTTCAAAGTGGATATATGCTCAAGGAAATTAATAGCGATTAAGTTAAATTACGGCTAAATTACGGCACCAGGGAAAAACTGCTAACCGAAAATTAGTGAAGGTGATGTTGTGAATCCACTTGTTGTAGTTTTTATCTATGTAAACAACCTTGGTTAGCAGGTTATAGTTATTTTTTTTTTCAATTTTTTTAAATGAAAATTAATTTGGGATATATTAGCAAGTTTCGCACTCCATGAATATATGTTATACCCTCGATTCTAATTGATTGAAGAAAAGACGGGACGGTTCCGTAAATGACCAACGGAACTCTATTATTATTATTATTATTATTATTTAATAGGCAAAGCCTGGGTGGTGTAGGACCCATATTATTTATCTAGAATTAAGGAAAATGAAAGTAGCAGTGCGTAAGACTTACAACATTTTATACTATAACTAAAAAGTTCGGAAAAGTCAATGGACTCAAGGGTCTATATCTAACAATAACTACTTTTTTCCTAGCGACGTACTCTCGGATTCCTATTGGCGCTAGGTATCTTCCGTTGCTTATTAGCAGAGATAAAATCAGGCTCCTCGCCCTTTGTAACTTGGGCAATGATTTTTTCAAAATTCTCCATGTTTTCTATCATACGTTGCTCTTTCTCCTCTACTTGATTCGGAGTGCTTGCCTTTGCAACCGCTAATAAGCCTTCATCAGGATCACCTTCTTTAAGCATAGGCTCAGTAGCACTCTCCTCAATCATATCTTCAAAAACAACTAGATGTTTATGTTGGTTGCTCTGATTTAGCTCCTCTTCCATTTGTAGCTCCCCATCAGTCTTATCACTATTATTTTCTCTCTTTGAACTTCGTCAATTGCATTCTTATTTTTCAAATCGGCTTCAATTTCTATATCAACCGAGGGCTGTTGGTTTTATATGATACCCTTAGTGAAGCCATCCTCTACATCATCACCATTTTCATTCAACTGAATAGCTCCATCATTATCAATTTCTTGCAGCGCCAAAAATTTGTTGGAGCTCTGGCAATTGACATCATCTTTAACAGCAACGTTTTTTGGCGCTGGTCTCCACATCTTCAAAACCCGAACATTATTCTGAATATCATTTTTCTCCTTTTCAGTACCCGACGTAAAATCCACAGCGTGCGCCTCTATTCCGTTAAGTATTAGAGGTTGCTCCTACAGAATTTGCACCTCTAAAGTGGATTTTTCTTCCCCTTCTTTATTTTTCCATCTCACCTTTGGTGGCTGCATTTTAAAGCTTTCTTTTTCATAGTCGGATCTACAACCTGTCCAGCAACTTTTCTTTGCATCGGAGGCTCCCCCATTCGACAATTATCATTTTTATGCCCAATCTTGTAACATTTAAAACAATATGAGGCCACATGCTCATAGGTAAAGAATTGTTCATGCATCCTTACTTTCTTACCAATCTTGATCGATTACGGGAGTTCTTTTGTGAGGTCAATTTCTACACAAAACCGCGCAATTGATGGTCTACTCATATTCAGAGTAGGCGTGTCGACTTTCAAAGGCTGGCCTATTGCATTGCTATTGAAAAAATAATTTCTGGATGCATGCATTCTATTGGCAAATCGAATAGCGAGACCCATATCGGCACCACAGGTGGTTCTTCCTCAAACCGAAAACCTGGCTTCCATTTTAATATTCTCATTGGAAAGCCAGCAATATTTCAAAAAGTGTGGATCCAACATCGCTGATAGTCCTCTTCCATTTTAAACTGAATCAAGATGTGCCGCGGATTCATCCATGAAAACCAATTTTTCGAAACTCTTTATGCACCTCATCCATTTGGGGTTGTACGTATGATAATTTTCCAACTAAACTCAACCAGTGAGGTGCAATTAACTGTTCGAATTCCTCATCTTCAAATTCTAACACCGAGAACCATTAACAAATTTTACCTGTTCAGACAGATTGCCTTTGGAGGGATTTGAGGGTCCCTTCGTGTCATCCTTTGGGAACTCCTACATACTGCTGGCAGTGGACTACATTTCAAGATGGATAGAAGTTGTAGCTGCAAAGAACAATGATGATAAAACTGTTCTCAGGTTTCTAAGAAAAAATATTTTCGCCAGGTTTGGTACACCTAGGATGATACTCAGTGATGAAGGATCACACTTCTGTAACAAGTCATTTGCAGCCATGGTAAAGAAATATGGAATTAGGCACAAAGTATCAACACCATACCATCCACAATCAAACGGGCTAGCAGAAGTGTCAAACAGGGAAGTGAAAAGAATCCTGGAAAAGGTTGTTAATTCTACCAGGAAGAATTGGTCTTCAAGGCTGGATGAAGTTTTATGGGCATATAGGACAGCATACAAGACTCCCATTGGTATGTCCCCGTTCAAACTGGTCTATGGGAAAGCATGCCACTTGCCAAAAGAATTGGAACATAAAGCTTACTAGGCTATCAAGGAACTGAATCTTGATCCGGGCAAAAGCAAGGAATTGAGATTGGTTCAGTTGAATGAATTGGAAGAATTTAGACTAGAGGCATACGAATCGTCCAGAGTCTACAAAAAGAAAACTAAGGCTTACCATGATCAACACATTGTCAAGAAGAACTTGCAAGAAGGACAAGAAGTCTTGTTGTACAATTCCAGACTGAAATTCTTTCCAGGGAAGTTGAAGTCAAGATGGACCGGGCCCTACAAAATCAACAAGGTCCTAACACAGGGAGCAGTGGAGATCATGAATCCACAAGGTGGCAACACCTTTTTAGTTAATGGTCAGAGGCTTAAACCATACCTTGGATGGACAGAAGGGGAGAAAAGGACAGAACTATCAAGTTCTGGTCCTGAAGGAACTTGACTGAAATTCCCTTTTGAAGTCTGGCATGAGACTTAAAACCAATGTGCTTTATGGGAGGCAACCCATACATTTTGCTTTTATATGGCTAACAATGTGCTACTCTAATTTTTGCAGGATTGGACAAGGAATTTGCCACCCCAACAGATTTCAGAAGGTGTAACATAAAAGGCTTCAGGTAAACTCACTCCCAGGAGTGAAGAAGGCCACTCAGCTGAGTGAACCTACGGGAAGGAACCCTAAGAATTTTCTAACCCTGACGTCACTCACGCAAGTGGAACAATCCACTCGCCTGAGTAAAAACAACTATACGACACTTTCTGCAAAAAGTCACCTTTTTGGGCTGTAATTATGGTTTAAGTTTGGGGGGGGGGGGAATTTTTTCGGAAAATTTCAAATTTCAATTTTAACCACGTCCGCCTTTTTGAGTCACTTGAGTCAGCCACGATTTCCAAAAACTTTAACTGCTGTGCATTAACTCACAACTCCTTCATTGCTTCGTCTTCTTCATTTTCTTCTTAATTCCAGAATCACTTCTTCAACCACCACTTCCATGTGTGAACATACTGACAATTTCTCTGAGTTTCCAGGCAACTAAGGCAATTTTCAGATTCCATCGCAAAACCCCTCTTTCAATTTCCGACACAACTCTTAGGGTTTGTAAAAGATGCCGCCGGCAAGGAGGAAGGCTGCTGCCCGCAAAAATGCCTCCAACACAAGAAGAAGGATATCATCCTCCTCATCCTCGCCCTCCCCTGAACGGCAAAGAACGCCCACTCCACCATCGTCCCCTGCCAGAGAACCTACCCCACCGCCACCTCCACAACCACCAAGGGCGTTGCAAGAACAAGCCCTCAATGCCATCACAGATGAATGGGAGCCCAGGTTGTTTCCAAGGAAGAAGGGTTGGGATTTCTTTTTGAAGCACATAAGGCGAAAATTCATTACAGAAAGGGGAATCGGTGAAGATGGCGCAGCTTTTGCCTACATCAAGCGCCATGGCTGGGAGACCTTCTCTAACCCACATGTCAAGCCAAGGATCCAGATTGTGCAAGAATTTTATGGCAACTTCCACACTGCCCCCAGAGATGGAGTATTCGTCAGAGGCATCAGCGTCAATTGCAGCACAGAGGCCATCAGGGCCATCTGGAAGTTACCAAGAATAAGCACCGACTACAGAGAAACCCTGGCTGCCCTGCATCCAAATCAACCACTGGAACAGGCCATTCTGTCCAGATTGGCAAAAGAGGGCACAAGCTGGGAGATGGATGATCAAGAAAACCCTTTGGGATTTCCAGCAAACGCGTTGCAGACGCCTGACTTAAATCTGTGGCACCATTTCATCTGCTGCAATCTGATGCCAACATCCTACACTGCTAAGGACACCTATGAGATGGCTCTGCTGCTATATGCCATTGTCACGGACACACCATTTGATGCAGCCTCAGTCATCCGAGAGCAACTCACCCGATGCATCACTGATCCAAAGGTGAAGAGATGGTATTTCCCGGTTATGGTCACCATGCTATGCAAAAGGGCAGGGGTGACCTTCCTGCACACAGACGCAGAGAGCAACTTGCAGCAACCATTGAGGATGCATAAGTTGGACCAGAAACCCCCAGGTGCCTCATCCGCAGGACAAACAACATCCACTCCCACTCCAACTGGACAATTGAGGCAGAGGGATTTCAACAAGTAGACCAGGTTCATCCTGGATTACGTCCACCAATGCCAGATGAGGACAGAGAAATTCCTGCAGGAAATGCACAAGTGCATTGGATGCCCTGAAAACTGCCCAATGCTGCATGATCCACCAGTCCACCCACTCCACGGCATGCCTCAATGAACACTCAGGGAAGTGTTGTTCTGTTTCCCTTAATCAGCAATTTATTTGTTTCCTGTTAATGTTTAATGTGTTGTTTCTGTATTTTTTTTTCTTTGTTTTCTGTTTAATGTATGTTGCCGGGTTGGTGTTATTAAGCATTGAGGGCAATGCTTAGAATAAGTTTGGCGGAGTAGTAATGAAGTAGTTAGTTTATGGTTAGGTCAATGTCAGGACAGCTGTCATTTAGGTCCATTAGGATCATGTCTAGATTGACTCTGTAAAATATCTCTCAAAAATGAAAATCTTCTAAGGAGCTGTCAACAGTCTAGGATGATAATGGTTTTGAAAAACAATTTTGCTAAACCACTTTTTGATCACTTTTTGATACCGAGTCTGATGCATGAAAGAAGAATGGCTGACACTCACTCACACAGATGAACAATACCACTCGTGGAAGTGACTGCCTAGAACATAAATCTTAAAATTTGGCATGACTAATCCACTGTTGTGAGCTGTGCCTAGTTCTGAGCTACAATTAGATGAGAAATGCCGTAAATCTGAGACTTTCTTTGTGGTATCCATTCACAGCCTGCTTGTTAAAAAAAATAAAAAATTTAGGGAATGGATCAACTGAAACCTTAGGGGTAACAGCAAGGAACCACCACAAAAAGTTCCCAACTGTTGGAGTAATAAGGGTTGAGGTATAAGGCAGTGGAGAGATAAGGTTGAATAACACCCCTGTAGGTTGGTCCATCTACATTCCATCCACATTCCCATTCAAAAAAAAAAAAAAAAAACATAAAGGCTGTGCAGGAAGTCCAGGATTGGAGTCTCAGTAGGTAAATTGAGTCAAGTAACTTGGGCAAGACCAGATCACAAGAATGATCACCAAAAGTTTAACCGGTTAACTTAGAATGGATTGGTAGGTTTGGCATGAATGAACACTTGTGGCATATGTATTCTAATTCCATGTGAAGGTTGGTTGTTTGACTCTGGATTGCAAAAAAGATTTGGTATCCTTAAATGTATGTTTTCTTCACTTTAATCTGAGACAGAAAGTTGACAGCACCTATCTAGTTGTGTTTAAGGTTGTTGCTTTGTTTAGTGTTACTTGGAGTGAGGATTCTCTTTAGTCATTGTGACAATGTTGTCTCCCCTGTTTGTTATGTGCAATTCTGAAAGTGCCAACAAGAGTTTAGTGTTTTGCTTGAGGACAAGCAATTCTTCCAGTTTGGGGGAGTTGATAATGGCTAAATTGTTACAGAAAAACATCACAATTAACTTTGTAATTGATACAAAATTGGGGGTATTTCCTAACATTGGTGCAATTTACTTAACTCGTTTTCATGTTGTTGTTAGGTAAGGGTTGGATTGAATAATTGCTGAAAATTGGAAGCCAAAGGAACAATTTATG